ATTAAAAAATTGACTTTTTAGTGCAACTTAAGGAAATTATACATTTACAATACATGGAAGTTTGTTTTTTCTTCTATAAAAACAGCAAAATACTCTTCTTAAGGAACAGCTTTCATCAACTTTGAAATGAAGACTTTCATAGCATTGGACACAAGGTTTAAAATTGAGAAAATCACTGGATATTCCTTAGTTTTGTAGACCCAATTGTTTGGTCATGTAACAAGTTTAAACCTATGTTCAGTATGAAAAATATTTGATGCAAAATAAAAAAATATATATATTTCCAACAAGTGATTTAATTTTAACTTTTAGCATTAACAACTGAATAGTTGAGGTGATAATTACTTACAGTGCTCACAACTCCTGTTGAGAAACAACAACCCACTGCTGTACAACAATACATGGACGATGCAAGTGCCAAGAAGAACTCAACCAGGGAGAGAAGAAGGAGACACGAGCCTAAACCAGCCCCATTTGCAGCTGTTTCTCTATGAAAGCCATAAGTTCTGTAACAATCACGGTTGTTATAGAAACTGTCATAGTCATGATCAATATAAGAGTTAGAACAGTATGCCTTCATTTTGGAGTAGAATGAAAGAATAATGGAATAGCCGATGAACATTTGTCCTGAGAAGACACACCCAGTAATGGAGAAACCTATAAAACATCCAGTCTGGTGATAAAAAAAACACACAACACAATTCAATCACACCACTTCATCAACTGTATTTATTCAATTAAAAGCCCAAACTTATATACAGTCACCTGCCCTTTGGGTAAAAAAAAACTTAATGCACCTGTTAGTACCCAGCCTTGAGTAATACCTCATGCAGAAACCTTTGTATCAATGGTTTGAACATTTATGGCTAAAAAAGTCTTTAAACTCATTAGCCATGAACAGTAACTGATTTAAAAATCCAAAATATACAGGATAACTATTGTGTGCATGTTTGCAAATATAAAGTTATAATGCATAATATCAATTTGCTGTTTAAGTTGTTTTACTTGTCTTCTCAGTGCTTTTTTTCTTCTTCCTTTATTTTTGACAAATTTTTGAAATGAATGTTAATCACTGTAGATACCCTGGAAACACTAAAGAAGAATTTTACCAGGGTGGAGTATTCCATCCCATTTTTCT